TTCCTGGATAAGGACTGTATAAATTTTCTCTACATTGATCTATGTTCATACTATTTCTTTCTTTCAGTAATATAGACAACTCAGAATTATTCAGAGCATGTGGATAACTCCAAACAGTAATATAGAGACACACAGATTCATGCCAAGGCTGCAAGCTAGAGGATTAAAAAATGGGTTTAAGACAGGTTTGGAAAGCTTCTGGCATAAAATGAAATCTAAGCAGTTAAGAAGGAAGTGGAAAAAGCTCCGTCAAAGAGATAGCTGGTGTGGTCAGCAGAAGCTTGGAAGTTAAAAAGATAAAATGGATAAGGGATTGAACAAATTTGTTTGGTTTATTCAATAATTTTTCGCCGATCTACTCAACACTATTTTTTGCATGTTTAGTATGCATCAGGTAGAATTAGAGCACAGAATTTAGAGTAAGAAATCGCATAATTGGCCGAGCTCGGTGGCTCAGTCTGTAATCCCAGCACTTTGGAAGGCTGAGGCAAGTGGATTGCCTGAGCCCACAGATTCGAGACCAGCCTGAGCAACTTGGTGAGACCTCGTCTCTACAATAAATAAAAAATTAGCTGGGTGTGGTAGTGCATGCCTGTAGTTCCAGCTACTTGGAAGGCTGAGGCGGAAGGATCACCAGAGCCCAGCAGGTCAAAGCTGCAATGGCCGTGAGTGTGCCACTGCTCTTCTGCCTGGGCCACAGAGTGAGACTCCAACTCAAAAAATAAAGAAAGAAAGAAAGAAAGAAAAGAAAAGAAAGAAATCATATAATTGAAAACTACCCCTTGCCACTTTTGCAATCCAAGAATGGATATAACTTTAAAAGTCATTCAGTCTCCTTATTTTTATATAATGAAAGACTGAACCAATTTCACACAATGAAAAAATGCCAGGACCATGGCTTTTATTTTACCTCTAACTCACAAGCCCGTTTATCCAATCACACAGTCCCTACTGGTTTTAGTTCTGTCCTTTTAGATTGCTGGCCCTGCAAATATTTAAAGACAGACATAATTTTTATTCTCAAACTTATTTTCTGCTAAGGAACTTTACCAAGAAAGACAGTGATAGCTTTTTTTTTCTTCCCTCCAGGCTGAGGAACTATTCATGGAATTTGCACACAAGGCTTCAGCTTTCAACAACTGGTGTGAAAATGCTGAAGATGTCAGAGCCTGTACACTGTGTTTCCCTGAATGAGATTTGGCAGTTGCAGAAGGACCATGAGACCTTCTTGGCCTCCTTGGCAGGGGCTCAAGCAGACTTCAACTATTTACTGGAGCTCGACCAACAGATTAAGGCCTTAAATGTGCCCTCCAGCCCTTAAACCTGGTTAACAGTGGAGGTCCTAGAAAGAATCTGGAAGCACCTACCTGACATCATCAAGGTAACTTGGGGCACAGTAGAGACCTC